AAAGGACTTTGGGCCACCTTCCACTGCTTTCCTAGGTCGTTAGCAGGGAGCTGGATTGGAGTGGAGCAACCAGGACTTGAACCAGTACCCTTATGGGATGCCAGCACTCCAGCACTGTGGGTGGAGGCTTAACCTACTGTGCCACAGCACCAGCCCCAATAAGAAATAATTCTAAGTCAACATCCCAAAGTTTAGAATTTTTGAAAGATTTATTTATGTATTTGAAAGGCTGAGTGAGAGAGACAAACATCTTCCATCTACTGGTTCAACCCAAGATGTCTGTAATAATCAAGCACTGGGCCAGACTGAAGGTAGGAGCCTGGAGCTCCATTCAGGTCTCCCACATCAGTAGCAGGGTCCTAAACACTTGTGCCATTTTCCTCTGCTTTTCCAGGCCATTAGCAGGGAGCTTGATCTGAGGTAGAGCAGCTGTGAGATGAACCAGTGCCCATATGGGATGCCAGCATCACAGATGGTGGCCTTACCCATACATCACAACACTGGCCCTAACATAAAAAATTTTCAGAGTGGGGGCAGCATCATAGTTAAATGCAGTCTATCATACCTGCATCCCATAAGAGTGCTTCTTTGAGTCCAAGCTGCTCCGCTTTAATCCAGCACCCTGCTAATGTGCCTGGGATAACAGAAGATGGCCCAAGTGCTGGGACCCCTGCCACACATGTGGGAGAACCACATGGACTTCCCTGGCTTTTGGCTTCAACCTGTCCCAGCTCTGGCTGTTGCAGATGGTTGGGGAGTGAGCAGATAGACAATCTCTTTCTCATTGTCTTTATATTTCTGTAACTCTGTCTTTCAAATAAAACTAGGATTTAGTCCCCCATGTTAAATCACCTAATTTTTTTAAAATATTTATTTATTTATTTGAAAGTCAGAGTTACACTGAGAGAGGTGAGACAAAGAGAGAGACAGGTCTTCCATCCACTGATTCACTCCCCAGATGGCCACAATGGCCAGAGCTGCGCTGATGTGAAGTCAGGAACCAAGAAGTTCTTTCAGGTCTCCCATATGGGTACAGGAACCCAAGGACTTGGGCCATCTTCTGCTTTCCTAGGCCATAGCAGAGAGCTGGATAGGAAATAGAGCAGCCCTTATGAGATGCTGGCACTGCAGGCAGTTGCTTTACCCGCTACACCACAGCACCAACCACTATACCTAGGTTTTTTTTTTTTTTTTTTTTTTTTTTTTTTTTTTTTTTTTTTTTTTTTTTTTTTAGCTCTTTTTATTTGAAAGGCAGAGTTTACAGAGAGAGGGAGAGACAGAGATCTTTGGTCTACTGCTTCACACCCCAAATGGCCACAATGGCTGAACTTGAGCTGTTGGGTTCCTGAACTAGGACCCCGACTGGTCGAGATGCGCACCCCAAAGACTCAGATTCCAAACCAGTAGATGCAACATGCAAGAGGATTTATTCAACGTCTGCGCAGATGGGCCATCCAAAAGAAGCCCCGAACAGTTGTTAACGAGCATTTTTAAAGGGAAAAAGCACATAATTTACTTAATACACACAATTTACACGCTAAGTGGAGGGTTTAAATGATACACACACGATTCACACACTGATTGGAGGATTTAAATGAGGGGGTTAGTGGAGGGAAAATTTTTCTGGCTATCGCAGGAGTCACTTTAAGACTTTAGGGTGGGATATCTGCTGTTCACCAGAAGGTGCTCTGCAACTGGGAGCTATCACAAAGCCTCGAGGCGGGGTTCCTGCTGCTACCACATCTCAAGTGACAGCTGGTGCCTAGGACTCTTTCTAGGAACTAGCACACTAAGTAGGGCAAAGGTTACTTCTAAGAACTAACTCACTAAGTAGGGCAAAGGTTACTTCATCTGGGATGGAGAGGAGTGGCTCTTCAGAGCCACAATAGCCAGGAATCAGGAGCTTCTTCTGGGTCTCCCACCTTGCTGTCAGGGGCCCAAGGACTTGGCCATTTTTCATTGGTTTTCTAGGCACATTAGCAGGGAACTGTATCAGAAATGGAATAGTCAGGACTAGAATCAGTGTGCATGTGGAATGCCTGTGTCACAGGTGGTGGCTTTTACACACCACACCACAACACTGGCCCCTACACCTGACTTTTCTAGATGTATTTAAATTGTTCTATGGGATTTTTTTCTGCTTTTGTTTCTAAGGTGTATTTTCTTTTATTTTTGTTAAAGATTTTTTTATTTGTTTAAAATGCAGAGTTACAGAGAGGCAGAGAGAGAGAGAGAGGTCTTCCATTTGATAGTTCACTCCCCAGATGACCACAATGGCCAAAGCTGCAGTGAGCTGAAGCCAGGAGCTTCTTTTGGGTCTCCCACAGGGATGCAGGGGCCTAAGGACTTAGGCAATCTTCTGCTTCTTTCCCAGGCCATAGCAGAGAGCTGGATCAGAAGTGGAGCAGCCAGGACTTGAACTGACACCCGTATGGGATCGCAGCACTGCAGGCGGCTTTACTTCCTAAGCCACAGTGCCAGCAACAGGTGAATTCTTTTCTAAGTTTTTTCATTCTAAATGCTCACAGCCTTCAGTGTCTAAGTTTGGGTGTGGGGGAGGCTGAATCTTGAGAGGCCTAGAGGAAATTTCCTGAGCCTGCCTCCAATTTGAAAACCTGTCTTTAAGTTTGAAATCCCTGGTAGCAAACACCCCAGCCCCAGGGCGCTTTTGCCTAATGATCATTAAGGTGGTAGGTGGTATAATAGGAGTGGCTAAGACTCTTTTGCATTACATCACCCCACCCCTTGCCTGCATCCAGTCATCTCATCTGCTCTGTACCTCCGCTATATATACACCTCCCTTTTATAATAATGAAGAGAGACCCTGCTTTGACTGGGCTCCACACCACGCCTGATTGTCCCCTGGGTTTGGGGAAGGCTGAGTGGCGGGTGGCACACTTCCCCTCCTCGGTCAAGGCAAGCTTTGGGCAGCCTGTCTAATTCTCCGGTGGTGGTGAGGAACAGTCACCACATTTGGGTACCTTTCCATTGGGTTTAACTTCTAAGTAATCTGGAGGAGCTTCCCATTAGAAGAAATACAGCACAAAAGAATTTTCTTTTTACCTTTTGGTTATTACAGAAGGGAAAGAAATTTTGTGTTTTGTCAAGATTATCTCATGTATTCTCTGACTTTGGGTTTAGAAAACTGAGTTTTAAGAGTTGAGATTTTTAGGCCGGCGCCGCGGCTCACTAGGCTAATCATCCGCCTTGCGGCGCCGGCACACCGGGTTCTAGTCCTGGTCGGGGCGCTGGATTCTGTCCCGGTTGCCCCTCTTCCAGGCCAGCTCTTTGCTGTGGCCCAGGAGTGCAGTGGACGATGGCCCAAGTCCTTGGGCCCTGCACCCCATGGGAGACCAGGAGAAGCACCTGGCTCCTGCCATCGGATCAGTGCAGTGCATGGGCCACAGTGCGCTGGCCACGGCGGCCATTGGAGGGTGAACCAACGGCAAAAAGGAAGACCTTTCTCTCTGTCTCTCTCTCTCACTGTCCACTCTGCCTGTCAAAAAATTAAAAAATTTAAAAAAAAATCTTGTGATAAAAAAAGAAAAAAAAAGAGTTGAGATTTTTAATATATTTTAAATGTCTACATTAATTAAATATTCAATATACTTAATATATTTATACATAATTTGACTTAATATTATGTAAGTGATTATTATCTCATAGTGATCAGGGATCCTATGTTGACCAATTATTTTCTTTTTAATTTTTGATCTCTTTTACAGTCTTTTCTAGAAAATCAAAATACTAAATTAACTGTTTTGACCTTGATTTATTAGTGGACCCCTGGAAATTATCAAAGGATTTAGTTTCAACTTGCAGAGGAGAGAGCTAATTAGGCTCACTTTGCGTGAAAAGATCTGCCAGTTGCAAGATCATAAACTTTGGGTACCTTTCCATTAGGTTTAACTTCTAAGTAATCTGGAGGAGCTTCCCATTAGAAGAAATACAGCACAAAAGAATTTTCTTTTTACCTTTTGGTTATTACAGAAGGGGAAGAAATTTTGTGTTTTGTCAAGATTATCTCATGTATTCTCTGACTCTGGGTTTAGAAAACTGAGTTTTAAGAGTTGAGATTTTAATATATTTTAAATATCTATATCAATTAAGTATTCAATATACTTAATATAAACATTTATACATAATTTGACTTAATATTAATGTAAGTGAATGATTATTATCTCATAATAATCAGGGATCCTATGTTGACCAAATGTTTTCTTTGTAATTTTTGATGTCTTTTACAGTCTTTTCTTGGCCAGTTGCAAGATCATATACTTTAAGTTACATTGATATAAAATGTTATTGATGTCAATTTTCCAGGAGTTATATAACATTGAGACAAGTCCGATATTCCTGGTGGGATATTATCAGTTGCTGTTCTTAAAAAAAAAGGAGGAGGAATGCTTGGGTACTTTTTTTTTTTTTTTTTTTTTTTTTTGACAGGCAGAGTAAGACACTGAGAGAGACAGAGAGAAAGATCTTCCTTTTTCCATTGGTTCACCCCCCAGATGGCCGCTATGGCCAGTGCACTGTGCTGATCTGAAGCCAGGAGCCAGGTGCTTCCTTCTGGTCTACCATGCAGGTGCAGGGCCCAAGCCATTGGGCCATCCTCCACTGCACTCCTGGGCCACAAGAGATCTCAGGAGATGGACTGGAAGAAGAGCAACTGGGACAGAATCTGGCACCCCAACCGGGACTAGAACCTGGGGTGCTGGAGCCACAGGTGGAGGATTAGCCTAGTGAGCTGCGGCGCCAGCCAACGCTTAGGTACTTTTGAAGATCTTTGAAATTGCTCCTATGCCATCATTGCCTGAAATGATGGACTGGTTTGTAAAATACTGCTGTGCTTTTTAAAGTTCGGTGTGCATCTTCTTGTCCATTGGTAAATTACCTTCCAAATTTCAATTGTGATGATTTTAAGGTATACATGCTATGAGGTAAGGCATTTAGTCCCTTAATCTTGCTCCTAGAAGATACTTAGCAATGTTCTGTATCCAGTTCCCTTCTGTGTTTCTATGCTTGAGGAATTAAAAGATGGTGTAAACTGATTTGAGAAGAACTATAAACATCAATAAAACACAAATAAAATTGTATTATCAAATCTGCATGTTAAACTCTACCCTCTACACCTCTGCTAAAAGGTATATTGCTTTCATAATCATTTATTATGTGAGAGAAGTTTCCAGGAACAATGCAACCTGTAAGATGTTTCTGGAAGAAGACAGAGGTTATGAAGGAGCCAGGATTTGGGATCAGTTAGCATAAGAGAGTGCAATGCTTTAAGATTTTGATTCAGGAAAGAACACCAACTGATCCTTGAGATTTTGGGATGGGAAGGAAAAGAAGGGGGGATGTGAACAGAAGCGAACGCCCTCTGCTGGCCAGTATTTCTCCATCCACTCCACACTGAAGCCCTTGGGGATCGCCCACCGGTCTCTAGAAATGCGCAGCCTGGACTCCATTTCCCAGAGTCACCAGGTGCCCTGACGTATTCTGCGTTCTGAATGCCTGTGCGTGTGGACGTGGGAGTACCTGTGCCTGCATTTGCGCATGTCGGTGTCTGCCCTCTGGTGCAGAGTTGAGAACAGAGGAAGTTTATTCACGGGGAGTCAGCCTGAGAGGCCACGCTGCTCCTTCTCCCACATTCACTGCCACTCTTGCTCTGCACACAATCCCAGGAAGTCTGTGGAGACACCCTGAGCCGCCACCCGCTACTTCTGTGCCTCTTCATCTGCCGCCTGTGGTTCCCACATGCCGGGGACTTTTTCTGCCCCACACTCTCCGCTTTGCTTCCTGAGTGTCCTGAAGAAGGGGGACGGGCTCCCGGGACTTTCCACGGCAAGTATGGAGAACAGAAGGGGGCACAGATGTGTGTGTGGGAGAGAGGTGGGAGAGAGGGCGGGTGGCGGCTCCACAACATGGCTCACTTGCTTCTCAGTGATCCTGGTGGCTTCCCGGGGCATGGTCAGGGCTGGGACCTTGGCTCTCCTGTCTCCCGCCGCCAGTGCCCACCCTCCCAGTGCCGGCCGGTCCGCGTGTTACCTTGCTCAAATTTTCCTCAATGTGCTTTATGTGGTGGTTATGAAACAGAGAGCACTGGTGAGGGCAACTGCACAAGCAGGGCAGGTGAGAGGGTGGGGAAGGCAGGCCATGAGGCTCCCAGTTTGCTCTATTTAAATAAGCCCAGCTTCCACTTCGGGTGGGTCACAGAATGCCTTCTGGCTGCTGCTTCTGCGGGGCGGGGCTCAGTGGCCTTCAGAGGAGTGCGGGAGGCAGCAGGGTGGGAAGGAGGGCAGAATAGGAACTGCTCCATGGCCCCCATTCTGCACCTCATTGGGCCGTTGGATTCCCCAAGGACACACCTAGCAGCAGTGGCCCTGCTGCTGAGCTTTTCGCCAGAGGGAACGGCATGAAGGGTGAGCAGTAACTTTGCGGATTGGTCCTTCTTCCGTGTTTAGTTAACAGACTTTTTCAATCTGGAGTTTGAGGCCACAGAATCTTAGCTGATGATTTAATTGTCTGCTTTTCAATTTCTGTCATCAGCCCTTCTTCCTTCTCTTGTTAGGAAGGATGTCAACTGCTATTGCCTGTCACGGTGAGTGAACTGTGCGGGTCAACAACTGGAGCTATTTTAGTCTGGATTTGCATGAAGTGGAGAACTATAAAAAAGTAGCACTTTCTCTGCCCAGTTCTTCAGTCACCCAGTGCTCCACCAGGCTGATTATCTTACAGTCCATACTTTTTTTTAAAAAAAAAAGATTTATTTATTTATCTGAAAGTCAGAGATAGAGAGGGGCAGAGGCAGAGAGAGTGGGAGAGGTCTTCTATCTGCTGGTTCATTCCCCAGATGCCTGCAATGGCCAGAGCTGGGCTGACCTGAAGCCAGGAGCCAGGAGCTTCTTCTGGGTCTCCCATTGGGTGCAGGACCCAAGGACCTGGGCCATCGTCTACTGCTTTCCCAGGCCATAGCAGAGAGCTAGATTGGAAATGGGTAACTGGGACTTAGAAAAAATTCCCCCCTCCCTTTGAAAAAAAGCCACCTGGCATGGCCCATATGGGATGCGGGCACTGAAGGGGGCAGCTTTACTCACTCTGCCACAGCCCTGGACCCCACACTGAACTAATGAAGAAGTCCAGTTACTTGTTCTGTGTTTTATCCATGACATTTTTTTTTAACATAGAATGACATTAGTTCTACATTTTCATAAAGACCGTGGTCTGGGGAAGCATCTGTACAAGTTGTTAATGTGAGGAGCAAAAAGAGGGGAAAGAAAGTTCACCTCTCCCCCAAAAGAGATGTAGAGTAGAAGTGACCTTGCAAACTGTTGCTGAGTGAGTTTCAGTGTAATGCAGTTTTCACATGAATAACTGAGTGATTCCAGTGTCGTGATAGAATGTCATTGTCACCAGATTACCAGTTTATGAAACTCACTTAGCATAATGAGGCCATCTAGGAAGTGAACACAGAAAGTGATTTCTGGATAGAGGGTGTTAGGGTGACAGCATTTCTCCTCTCAGCCCCAGTGTGTTGTTTGTGACCTTTTCCCCAGTGCCCTCCCTATCACAGTGCTTGTGAGTGGACAAGCGTTTTTGTGTTTCTGGTGGGAAGAGCTGCTTCACACCCATGAAACAACTGTAAGACCACTTTCTGAGCAACCATGTTGTTTGCCTGTTAATACGACTTGGAAAAAGCTGAGAACAGGATGCTTAGACTCATCAGGCTAACTGGCTGTCCTTGGCACATCCTTCCCCTCATGGCTATAGGTTTCTGGCAAGTTTTATAAAATGTGTAAGAGAGAAATATTTTGTATGAGATGCATAAGCTGGTAATGAAGTAGCACCTGGACAGTAGGGACTCCATTTTGGAGCACCTGAGACTCCATCTTGAGAAAGCACCCACCCACAACCATGAGACTCTGGTCTGAAACTATGATCTAAAGCACCATGCATTTGTATCCCTTCCTCCTTCTTTCCTTCAATGCTGGAGCAGCCTTAACAGAGTTAAACTGGGTAGCACTGGTCATTTTGGCTTTTGGTGCTTGGAAAGCAAGAGGAATTGTTTTTTCTGCAGAAAGGGATTGAGGAGGCACTAGACAAAGTCAGCAGTAGCTTTCTTGGCTCCATCATATGTCAAATTGAGTCAGAATATTTGTGGTCAGTTTTTTTTTTAAATTTTTTAAAACTTTTTTAAAACAGAAAGGCAGAATGAGAGAGGGACTTTTTTTATTTGTTCGCCTTAATTTTAATTTTTTTCTATTTTTAAAAGTTTTTTTTATTTATTTGAGATGTGGAGTTATAGGCAGAGAGAGAGAGAGAGAGAGAGAGGTCTTCCATCTGCTGGTTCACTCCCTAGTTGGCTGCAATGGCTGGAGCTTTGCTGATCTGAAGCCAGGAGCCAGGAGCTTCTTCTGGGTCTCTCACATGGGTGCATGGGCCCAAGGACTTAGGCCATCTTCTACTACTTTCCCAGGCCACAGCAGAGAGGTGGATTGGAAGAGGAGCAACCAGGACTAGAACCGGCGCCCATATGGGATGCCAGCGCTGAAGGTGGAGGATTAACCTACTGCACCACAGCACTGACCCCTCTTTATTCCAAGAGAGAGATCTTCATCTTCTGGTTCACTCCCCAAATAGCCACAACAGCCTCTGCTGTGCTAGACTGAGGCCAGGAGCCAGGAGCCAGATCTCCTACTTGGGTGTAGGGGCCCAAGTACTTGATCCCAGACCATTGGCAGGGAGCTGGATGGGAAATGGAGTCACCAGAACTGGTACCTATATGGGATGCCAGTGCTGCAAGGGATGTTTTCAACTAGCTGCACCATAGTGTGAACCCCTTTCTAAAACTTTTTAAAAGAAATTTATTTGATAGGCAGAGTTAGAGGAAAAGATACACACACACACAGATATCAATCTTCCATCCACTGGTTCACATCCTCAGTGGCTACAACAGCCAGGGCTGGGCTGGGTCAAAGTGGGAGCCAGGAGATTCATCCATGTCTTCCATGAAGGAGCAGGGACACAAGCACTTGGGCTATCCTCTGATAATTTCTCAGGCACATTACCAGGGAGCTGCATTAGAAGTAGGGTAGCTGGGACATGAACCACAGCCCATGTGGGATGTCAGTGTCACAGGCAGTGGCTTTACATAATATGCCTCAATACTGGCTCCACATATGCTGGAAACACATCTAAGGGTTATTAGAAGGCCAGTTGATTGCCATCATGCCATTCAGGTCTGTCCTACAGAACCATTTTGAAATAAGTAACATTTCTCTCATGACTGAACGTCAGTCTACAAGACTGCTTCCTAAGGGAGAGAGCTTCAGGGGCAAAGGGGGCAGTGATGTAGAAAGGGAGTAGGAGTGAAGGAGGAGGGAGGAGGTGGAGGTCAGTAGAGAGGTTGGGAAGTGCTCAAAAGCAAAAAGTAATAGGACGCAGGTCATTTGTGCAGATTGCCAAAATTAACCATGTATATTATAGCTTTTTAAAATTCAGAGTTAATTTCTGACATAATTTCTGATATAGTTAACTCTCATTTCTGTTTTTTCATATAATGTTTATAAGCAGTAGAGAATGGGTGTAATTAAATGCAAAACCATACTCCTATATAAGAAATTTGTATTAGATGCCAGCACCACAGGCAGTATTATTTCCTATGAAATTATTCCCATGTTTCCTGATTAACATTCTCTGTTGGTTGAAGAGGATGGCAGGTTGGGAGACCAGGGAAAGAGCGAGCACCTGTTTTCTGTTCAGTCATGCTGAGCTGCAGGGAAACTATCAGGGAAGTTTGTGAGCAGCAAAAGTGAGGTCAGAGGGTGAGAGAAAGCAGTGTAGAAGGTAAATAGAGAGGAAATAATTGCAGAACATATTCACAGATTAGTTTGGCAAAAGCCAAGTGTGATCAGAGACCTAAAAAGAGGGAAAGAAAAGTTGAAGACAGAGAGCAGAAGAAATGGGAAATTGGAAGCATCGGAAGGGAGTTTGACTCTGATCACACACACTTTTGGAAGGTGTGGGGAAACAGGCCCTTGCACTCATATTGGCAGGAGAATAACACAGTACTCTCTTTGGAGGATAATTTGGCAGATCAAAGTTCTTTAAATGTTAATGTCCCTTGCTAGGATTCAACTGCAAATTTATCTAACATATATTTGGTCAAATACATAAAGAGCAAGTCAGGTCTTTGTTGTGTTGTTGAAGATGGGAATAAAACAGAAGCAACCTAAATATATATTGATAGAGAAGTGGGAAAATGCATTATGGTATATCTGTACAGTCAAATACTAAATATGTAATAGGTCTGAAAAATGATGTAGGGACAGAGTACTTGTGTAAAACAAAGTACAGAAAAAATGCCCCTTTTAAAACAAAAGGGCACATGTGTATGTATCTCTAATTTTTTTAAAAGATTTATTTACTTGAAAGAGCTACATGGAGAGAGGTGAGGCAGAGAGCGAGAGAGAGGTCTTCCATCTGATGGTTTCTCCACTTGGCTGCAATGGCCAGAACTGTGCCTGTCCGAAGCCAGGAGCCAGCAGCTTCCTCTGGGTCTCCCACATGGGTACTCTTGTATATATGCATATAGAAATCTCAGAAGATAATGTAAGAAATAGTTAAGAGTAGTTTGTTCTGCTTTCTCAGGCCATAACAGAGAGCTGGATTGGAAGAGGAGCAGCTGGGACAAGAATTGGTGCCCATATGGATGCTCGCACTTCGGGCCAGGGCGTTAACCCACTGAGCCACAGTGCTGGCCCCAGCCACAGTGCTGGCTCCATGTATCTCTTTTTATAAAATTTATTTATTCATTTTTATTTCATTCAGAAGGAGAGATTTTC